AGTGGCCTCTGCCTTTGTTGCATACCCCACACACATGGTGAAATTGGCTGGTATATAGTGTGGTTCTGGGGAACCCACTCTTCTAGGTGAGATTGGTATAGGGGTGGGTGCATGAGCATTTGCATAACATTTAAATTTATGATATTACTACTTGACTTAGAATTATGATTTATTGGTTAATTCGGATTTGATTATTGGTTGTTGTTCGCATTATGATATATTTGCAATTGTTTGCACTTTAGAGGCACACTAAGCTTAATTGCTTACACCCCCATAGTTTCTCTTTCAGATACTCTGACTTAGGATACTTGGTACTTAGAGTTTGAAATTATTCAGATTTCATTATTTTCATATTATGATAAAATTTCTAAAATTTTCATTTTTTTATTTATTTTTTTAATATTTTGGAGCATTGACATAAATTCTATCTTGGATTGTGAACTTGAACCTTGGTATTTGATATACATTTTGTTCATGTTAAAATTATTATTTCATTTATTTTGATTACTAAAAGTATTTGAAATCAATAAATGTAAGGGTTAATTTTAAAGCATTTTAAAATAACTTTTGTGCAAGTTTTCAAAGATAAGTTAATGGGCCTCCTATATTCGACCTAATCTATCTAAGATCGGGTATAAGGTTATATTTAGTTGTATCAAAGCCCGATTCTTCCCTCGGATTGTATGACTCAATCACAAAAATTTTAATCGTAAAATTATTGTTGGGTTATATAATATTATTTTCATTTAAAATGAGAAAATCTGGAAATATTATTATTATTATCAAATATTTTGTTTTATATAAATATTTAAATATTTAATTTTGGAAACTCCAAATACCATCTTTAATCTTAGGTTTTATCTTTTGTAGATAGTTTTCTATGGCACTAGTAAGAATTCTCGTCGAGTTAATAGTCAAAGTTGGGGTCGTATCACTACTGCTAGAGTTAATCCTCCACCCTAGTGGGTCAAACCCAAAATTTGAATCAATTTAATGAGATCGAGATAGACGAGCAACCTGCGAATGAGACAGAAGTTCATCAGGCTAGGAATGAAAACTCATCCGCACACTCTACTCAGAGTGAGCAATCATGGGAATTCGAGTATGGTAAAACGATTTAGATTGATAATGATGTGGTCAATCGAGAGTTACTCTGTTATCTCCACCACACATAGGTTGCACGTAAACTGATATCAGCTCAGTTTTTGGCTACTGGGATGAAAGTGTTTGAAGGAAACACTAGGTCCCGCTGATATTGTGTATTAGCTAAAGAAGCTACAACGACTGTTTAAGGAGATGGATTACCCTGGTGGCCGTAAGTTGAAAGCTGCACTGCACTGCTAGGAGGTGAAGCTCGGGATTGGTGGGAATCTGAGCAGGGTACTTTTTTGACAGAAAAGTCTCTTGGGAGAGTTTTCATTAGGCGTTCCGAGATCGTTATGTGGGAGCTGAGTACCTAGCAAAATACAGGGAGGACTTCTTAAATCTGAAACAGAATGACCTGACTGTGACCAACTATGAGATTGAGTTTCTGAGGTTAGTTAAATACATTCCAAGATTTGTTTCGAACGAGAAAGATATATGTGAATGGTTTCTGAAGGGTCTTCGCCCTTCGATTCGTTGAACTGTTATCGTACACCACGACCTGATGTTCAATGAGTTAGCTACTCGGTCCAAGACTGCTGAGAAAAGTGAAAAAACACCGTGGGTTCTAAAACTCATAATAGTGATAGAAATCGACGATAATCGGGTCCACCTACACATTCGAGATATGTGAATCACTTTAGCAAGAGATCAATGGATGATACTTTTCTCAGGGTTATTCCAATGCTAGACCGGTTACATTTGTTGCTCTGACTGTTAGTGCTGGAGGTTTGATTGAAGGTTATGAGGTACCGTTGTGTTATTATTGTAATAAGAGCCATCATAGGGAGTGTTGGAGGTGGATTGGAGGGTGTTTTTGTTGTGGGTCTCAAAGCATCACTTTGTAGATTGTCCTCTTCCGACAATTAGTTCTTATTGTTCTAGTTTGTCGCAGGCTTCAATTTAAGCATCGACTCAAGCTAGAGATTAGAGTATACTCACTGGTTCTACTTCGGCTAGTAGAGGTAGATTGGCTTAGTGTAGGGGTTTCGATAGCTCTGCAGCGAGACAGTCTGAGGTTGTATATGCTACTTAGAGGTATGAGGATCGAGATATCAGATGATATTAAAGGTATTTTCTTAAGTTATTTAGTTACCATTTGGATATATTCCGAGGACCAAACTTTCATTAAGGAGGAATGAATTGTAACACCCAAATAAATCTCCAAATTAAAAACCCTAAAATTTAGGAAATCTTGATTTATTTCCTAAATTGAATTTCGGTGACTAAATCATAAATCTGGAAACTTTGGGTGCAGTTTCATAAACCCTAGAAAATTATAATGGATTAGTTTGTATTTTACCCTTTCTCTTTAAAATAAAACCTCCATCCTCCGATTATATCATCTCTGCAGTGCCCTATTCTAACCAAAAACCTTCGCGGTGTTCCCCCTCTCTTCTCGCCGGTCATAACTTTTTACCGCGGTTCAAGCCGTCCAATCACCGGGGTAAGCTCCTCGACCGTCCCTTTTAACACCACCCTTGATAACGTCGACCCAGGATTGGGCTTGTGCGAAACCCGGGAGCATTTAAGTCGTGCTGCCACCGTTGCGGCCTTGTTCTGGCTGTGTGTGGCTCTTGCTCGACCAGTCCTTACTTTGTCGGGGTCACCTTCAATGGTCACATAGTGGCCGTTTTAGTTTTTGTTGTTTCTGCCAACCATTTAGGGTCACGGTAAGTGTGGCCAGGACACCCCCGACCCTCTGGACTATTGCTGATATACCCTCGTCACCGATAGGCCCTCATTCTTGTATCGGCAGATTATTCATTCGAACTAAATACCCACTGTCAAGTATTGATTCAAACTGGAAAAAACCACCACCATCATTAAATTATTCTTTATTATACAGTATTGGGATAATTGGTTATTGATTTGAGCGTTATAATTTTTGCTGGAGACATTAACTAGGAACCGAAATTATCACCTCCTTCGCTGTTACATGCGCCTTCGAATAGTACCAAACTACTCGTGTTGACCGTGAGCGAAAACTTATTAATTCGTAGGAATTAATTCGGGTCAAACCACTGCTAGAGTTGATCATGATAGAAGCTACAACCGACATTAATTATTCTATCGAGGTGTGTCTCTTACCGATGCAATATTTAACTGTGTTTATTTGATTGTTCAGTGTGCATGGTGAATTGTGACATTGATTGTTCTATGAAATTTGTTGAAATTGTTTACAAGAACTTCTGGTAAATATTATGTGTTGTATGTTGTTATGTATGATTCAAAACATATGTTAAGTTCTCGAAAAATCTAATTATTATGATCTGTCATACATAAATTGTGTTATGTGTAACGAATTATATATCGGATTCAGATTATGCTATGTGCTCATACTTTAGGATCGGGTAATTGCATTCTTATTCGGATTAGATCCGAATTCAGATATTCGAGTATGTGTTTTATTTGAGATATACATTATGTAGACAAGATCATATTTTGGATATGTGTGCCATTTGCGTATCATATTGGGATGAATTTTGATAAGGAAAGTTTAGTGTATTCATACGAAGGGGTGAATGACACTTTTCAGATTCAGTGGCCTCTGCCTTTGTGGTAGACCCCACACACATGGTGAGATTGGATGGTATATAGTGTCACTATAGCAAAATGGATAAATAGCGGCATTTGTAGTGGCGTTTTTAGAATAAACGTTGCTAAAGACTAGTACTATAGCGGCGTTTTTACAAAAATGCCATTAAAGAATGTACTTTAGTGTCTTTTTTATATAAATAACGTTAAAGACTGTCATTTAGTGGCATTTTTGTATAAACGCCGATATAGAGTCGTACTTTAGTGACATTTTTATTGCAAACGCCACTATAGACTCGTGATTTAGTGGCGTTTTTATACAAACACCGCTAAAAACTCATACTTCAGTGGCGTTTATATAAAAACGCCGCTAAAGACTCGTACTTTAGTGGCATTTATATACAAATGCCGCTAAAGACTCATACTTTAGTGGTGTTTTTATATAAACGCCGCTAAATACTCGTACTTTAACGGTGCTTTTATATAAACGCCGCTAAATATTGTAAGGCATTTTAAGTACAAACACCGCTAAATAAACATTCTTTAGTAGTTTTTATACAAACGCTATATATATACCACATTTAACTAAATTTAGCAAACCCTAGCCCTAAACTTAACTCTCAGTGGCCTAATGCTTTTGAGAACCCGAACAGTCTCTTCAAGAAAGCTAATGAGCTCACCGTTCTCTGCGATGCGAGGGTTTCCATCATCATGATTTCCAGTTCTGGAAAAATCCACGAGTTCATCAGTCCTTCCACTTCGTATCACTTTCAAAACCCCTAGATTTCTACTTTTCTTTTTCTTTTTTGAAAAACTTGAATTGAAACCTTATATTTCTTCTAATTTTTGTTTTAATGTATATAAATAATATTTATTTTATTTTATTTTTGTACATTTGATGGGATCGATGGCAGGCAAAACATGGGTGAATTTTTGAACGATGCAAGCATAGAGGATCTTCGAGGACTGGAGCAGGAAATGGCTCTTCTATTATCTTTCATTTTGGGTTTTTAGTGGTAGTTGAATCTTGCTCTTTTTTTCTTGCTATATTTTGTCATGTTTTAATTTACTGCATTTGATGTTCTGTTTGCTCCATTTTGCTAATATTTTAGTTCACGAGGTGGGCTTTAATTTATTTTTTATTTTGTGAGGTTTGGTTTGAAAGATGTAATAAATAGCTTCATTCGAATCCTATTATGCAGAAGAAAAATTGTTAAGCTCAAGGGGTGTTAATTTTTGTTGAAAAAATGGATCTTGTTGGGTGCAGATATTGAGCAGATACTCATGGAGGCGCAGCACAGGTGGCTACGACCAGCTAATATTGATTGCCTAGAATTTATTCATTTTTCAGGTTTAACTTTGCATACCATGCCTTTCTCATCTGATTTTCATTTCCTTTTCCTCCTTGAACCATTGAACAACAGGGAGTCCATCCATGTGATAGAAGAAAAAGCATCAGTGAATATTGGCCTCTGTTTCCTGCAATTGATTTTTCCTTGTTACGTAACTTGTCTTACGAATTTAATGATTCTCATTCACTTTACCTATATTGGAATTTTTTATAATTGCAATTTCAATATCGGTTAATTGGTGGAATTTTTGTCCTTCAGATTGACAACAATGAGGATAATTTGTGGGAAGCTAACTGTAGAGAAAAGAATGAAGAAATTGCAACCAGGGGAATGAAATTCTTGAACCGGTGAGTGGTCCCTTTGTATCTGCTTTAACTATATGGGAGTATGGTCCTCTAAACATATGGATTTTTTTAGAAAAAAATGAGCATACATATCAAACCCATATTTTGACCCTGTATTAATCTGAATGAAAGAAATGGCTAGTTTACAGTTCGAAGTAAAATTACTTCGTTCGATGTTTATTTTATATCCTCCCAACCTTTTCTTTTACTATATCCATTTATCATTTGTGGCAGGCTGTGGACACGAGAAGAGAGGGAATTACCATTTTTAGTCACAACAGCTTCTTGCACCAAACCTTTGGTGTTTTTGGACATGATCTTCATCCATCTGTGAAGAGTGAAATATGCACACAGTGAGTTGTGCAAATTTTCAATTGTTAATTAATTTTTTCTTGATAGACCAAACTAGTTTTCTTTGAAAGTTTAAAACACTGATAACCTGAAATCTTGAGTCCAAAGTCCATGTCCTCTCTATAATGGATTGCAATTCACTACTGTACTGAATGGCATAGTTTTATGAGCTGAATTTTGATCTGTTAAGTACTTGAATCTAAGATTTCCAGTAGTTATTATATTTATAAGTATAGGTAATAGGCTACAAGCTTTCATCACTGCAGGTATTGCAGATATCCGAGGGTCGAAGACAAGTTGCCGGTGACTCGGAGAACATCTTTGAGAAAGGTCACTCGTCGGAGTCGGTGACCAACGTTTATACTTCCAACGGTAATCGACACGACTATGAAAGCTCCGATACATTTTTGAAACTAGGGTAAATTCAATTGCGCAAACAAATACCAAATTTACTGTTAAAAAGCATCGGCCGACTCCCTTTTTATTCTTCCTCGAATGTTTTGTAGGTTACCGTATGTTACAAATAATGTTGGGTAATGCTAATAGTCTCTGCTCTGCAACATGCCATTGGATAGAATTGTATATTTCTCACTTGTTATACATCAGGCTATTCACAGTGGTATGTACTTTCCTTGTATTACATATCTCGTTTATTTATTTTCTTCTGTTAGGGGTTAGAAAGCATGTACAGTTTGGCACAGAAAAGCATTCAATTGAAACCAATGGCCTCTGCACATAAGTTGATGGGGCTTATAATTGAAATTCTTGGGGAAAATACTGAGGTGACAAATGGGGATAAAATATTAATTTACAATCTCCGTTAAATTCTCTTTTTGCTTCCTTATCTTTAAGTTAGATTGTGCTTTTGTCTATTCTCAGGTTGTTTTAGCAGAATGCTTGAAAGGATTTGGTCCTTGGTAAGCTATCATATTTCCATCTTTATATCTTTCTGTTTTTTAGGAATGCAGTTTTGGAGCCTTTTTCTGGGTGCTATTGATTTAAAATATGTTTGGTCCGATAAGCTGTTAGAATTTATCATGAAATTCAAGCTTTGATGTTTCTGCACAATTATTAAGATCTATCTCTATATTTTGCTTATCAACATGATGGTTGCCCATGCCATAGAGTTGTTGACTGCTGGGACTGACCATGCAGAAATGTGTTGTTAACTTTTTTAACGTAAGATATAATGGATTTTCATATAAACTGATGATTTATTTGGATATGAAACTAGAGATCGGGTTTGCATTGCCATGGATGGGGCCTTTTCAAGTGGCATGCCAATTGGAGTAAGACCTCATGAAGCAAAATATCTGTGCAAGAAATGACAGGACGATACTAGCTCTGCATCATTGTTTTCCCATATAAACTGGATTTATCTCTTTGAATTTAAGCGCCTCATTGTGACGAAGAGTTTTGAAGAATGTGTAAGATTAGAAGCAAAATATCTTAGATATTATTGTTTATTATAGTTAATAATGTTGAACTACATTATATTTTACGTTAATGTAAACTTTGATTTATTATTATGGATTTCATTTTTCTTGTTATGGATTTTAAGTTTGTTGTTATGGATGTCAAGTTTATTGGAAAATGCTACAGGTTAAATTTGAGTAATAAAAGAGTAGAAAACAACATTTGACAAATTAGTTTTAATTTGCAAAATCAATTTCTTTTAGCTATAGAGAGGTAATTAACGGCGTTTGTATCTTAAAATGCCGCTATAGATATGACCTTTTGCGGCGTTTGTTCTAAAAAACGCCGCTATATACCAGATCTTTTGCGGTGTTTATGGGAAAAATGCCGCTAAATCTCAAGACCTATTGCGGCGTTTGTGGAAAAAATGCCGCTAAATCTCAACACCTATTGCGGCGTTTGTGGGAAAAACGCCGCTAAATCTCAACACCTATTGCGGCGTTTGTGGGAAAAACTCCGCTAAATCTCAACACCTATTGCGAAGTTTGTTGGAAAAACGCCGCTAAATATCAACACCTATTGCGGCGTTTGTTGGACAAACGCTGCTATATATCATTACCTATTGCGGCGTTTTTTTTGTTACCAAACGCCGCGAACTTTAGCGACGCTATTTTCAGCGGTGCTTTTTTGCGGCGTTTGTCATAGCGCCGCAGATGTTTTTTGCGGCGCTTAAAAACGCCGCTATAGGTAAAAAAACGCCGCAAATGTACAGTTTTGCTGTAGTGTGTGGTTCTGGGGAACCCACTCTTGTGGCTGAGATTAGTGTACAGGTGGGTGCATGAGCATTTGCATAACATTTAAATTTATGATATCACTGCATGACTTGGAATTATGATTTATTGGTTAATTTGGATTTGATTGTTGGTTATTGTTCGCATTATGATATATTTGCAATTGTTTGCACTTTAGAGGGACACTAAGCTTAATAGCTTACGCCCTCATAGTTTCTATTTCAGATACTCGGACTTAGGAGACTCGGCACTTGGAGTTCGAAAATTATTCAGATTTCACTATTTTCGTAGTATGATAAATTCTTGGATTATCCATTTTCTATTTTCTAATATGTTTAAATATTTTCGAACATTGAACATAAATTCTTTCTTGGATGATGGACTTGAACCCTGGGATTTGATATGCGTTTTGTTCATGTTAAAATTATTATTTCATTTAATTTGATTACTTAAAGTATTTGAAATCAATAAATGTGAGGGTTAATTTTAAATCATTTTTAAAAAAACGTTTGGGCAAGTTTTCAGAGATAAGTTAATGGGCCTCCTAGATCCGACCTAATCCACCTAAGATAGGGTATAGGGGGTTACAAAGATCACACAAGGACCATAAAAGGAAAAAGTTAAAAACTTAACCAATGCTCGAATAAAATAAAAGATATAAACAAATCGTACTACATTGGCAAACGAACCATAAAAGGGGATGAAGCTACTGAAAGGCCACCGACAAATCACAAATCAAAGTCCATTAACATGAGAAAACTATACGTGAGCGCAAAACGCGTATCTAAATCAATCCGAGGGTCCAAAGCAGGAAAGAAACCATGATAACAAATAAACATCATCTTGATCAGTCGTGGCGATGTCAAAATCAACTCTGAGAAAAAAAGATAAACGAAAACAACAGTAAAAAACTGAAAACTACCTTACGTAGAGAAAAAAGTGCTACAAAGACAGAGATAAACGTGTCATAAAGACAGAGATAAACATGTCACAAAGATTGAATTATTCTTATTAAAAAATAAAGGAAAAAAACAATTGGTGGTCGGTAACCCGTATCAAAACTGGTATGGTCTCCAGCTAAACAAAATCAAAGAAGAAAAAATTGATTTGATCTATAGAAATGACTCAAATTGTAAACAAAAAAAAAGGGAGGGAAAGATAAAAGAGGGAGAAAGCAAATAAAACTAATTTTTTTAATATTATTGTAAACTAAAAAATAATTTAATGTTATATGATGATATCAATGGTTGAAAATATAATTTTTTAAAATACAATTTTTAATTATATGGTGATGATAAAATATTTTTTTTAATTATGGAATATTATAATTATTTTTAGTATAATTTTTAAAATATAATTGTTTTCTTTGCAATTAGAAAAATGCAGTCAAAGAATTCTTAGAATGATAATTTTTAGATTATGTTTATCATTTTATAAATTAAAATTTATATTTTTTTTATCAAAAATATCTATTTAATTTAAAATTTATTTTCTTTTTTAAGAAAATATTACATTCTTGTTTGTTGTTGTTATTAAATTATTTTCATCTATTTTTCTGTAATATTTATCCATATTTATTGACTAATTAAATTAATAATTAATCATAAATCAATATAAATGAAAAATATGTACTAAAATTATTATATTATTTTAATTTTAAATTTATTTTCTTTTTTTAACAAGATATTATATTCTTATATGTTGATGTTATTCAATTATTTTCATCTATTTTGTTGTTATATTTATCCATATTTATTGATTAATTAAATTAATAATTAATCTTAAATCAATATATATTAAAAATATATACTAAATTTATTCTTAATATATTAATGTAAAGTTAAATTAATATAAAGCTAAGTAAAAATATGTAAATAAATTTAATTTAACCAAATAGTAAATTATAAATATTCACCCATATATAAACTAAAATAATTTAAGTTTAAAACCGATGTAAAAATATATAAATAAAAAAATTATTTTATAACATAATAATAGAAAATGAATACTAAATACCAACTTTTCTTCTATCATCTTTAAAATCTGTCAAATATGAAGATATTTTAAATCTTTATTTTTAGCAGTTTTATATACTTTATATATGAATGCATATTTTTGAAGAAAAACCATTAACGAGTCTCATTAAAACCCCTTTTAAATCTAATAAGGGAAAAGAGTACCTAATTACCATAACTCAAGAATTATTTACACCAACCAGAATGTCATAGGAAATGATATTAGGGCAAACTGACTAAAAAAATCAAAGAGCCACCAGTCCTATGGGCCCAACTAGCTAACTTATGAGAAATAACATTACAAGTTCTAGGGAAAAAAAGTAATATGGAACCTAGGCCTAGACTGAAAAATAACACGAGCTTCTCGAACAAATATACCAAAAGTGGAAATATCATCAAAAGTCTGTAATCTTCTGAACATGAATCAACGACTCAGTTTCAAATTGAATATCCTCCTACCCTTTAACACAAGCAAGACGCAAACCAGCAAGAAGCGCGTGAAGTTTCTCAAATCCAGCTTCAAAGCAACCAACTATCATTTGAGTAAGACCTCCATAAACCCGACCACTCAGATCATAAGCAATAACACTAACAACAACAACATGACGATCACAATCAAAGGTACCATCTGTATTTACTTTAATCTCTCCTGCTACTGGAGGTCTACATCTATCACAATCCATTACCATGGACTCGTCATTGCAACACTAGTAACCCGAATGCACTAAATACATGCCAGAATCGTGGTTGCCCTAAATAATCACATCTTCATGACAAGAAGAGATGGTAACATCCAAAATCTACCTAGCATCATCATCAGTAGATACCTTTGAACTAGAGTTTCATTCCATAAACTAGTTCCAAGTAACTTAAACTCAATACAATAAATAAGATTTATAGAAGAGTCAAGATATCTTCATGTTAAACACACAACTTTAGTCCCCCACCCAATGTATCACAATGAACCTGAATACAACTCCCATTGTGAACTCTCCAAAATAAACCCCCACGCAAAGCTTGAAAAGTCTTATAAAGACTTTTCCAGGAAAACGAACTCTTATCTTTAAGAGAAGCAATCAAGATATCTCTAGTAAGAAAATGCTTTGCACGAAACACGCACACAACAAAACTATATGGGTCATTAATAAAACGCCATAATTGTTTTCCCAAGAAAGCCATATTGAAACTATGAAGATCCTGAAAGCCTAAACCACCTACTCGCTTAGGCTTGCATAAAGTCTTCCACGTAACCAACAGCCATCCTCATTTATCAACATTACCAGGCCACCACTAACAAAGCGTAGCACTTGTCATACTATGTAACATCCCAAACCTGAACCTAAATCAAATTCGAATTAACGATGTCAAATTGGACCATTGAAGTGATCCTACAAATTAAGACTAAAAAATACAATTTACTTGAAAGATAAAATCCATTAATGATAGTATATAAAAAAATAAAAATTTATAAAAGGAAAAAGCTTCTTTATTTGAAAACCAAAGTACTTAAATAAAAAATTTACAGCTGACTTGAATAAAATCATAATCTCTGCATGCCAAATATTGACTATGTGAAAATGCCTAATTGGACGTTCTAAATTGAGAACTTACGAAAACGTCAACGATGGAATCATCCATCACCATGACAAGATCACAGTGAAATATTTGATCTAAAAAAAATACGAGAGAATTTATCAGAACACCAGACCTCCAAGATACTACCAAGAACCTTTAATTAATAGGAGTCAGATTGGAGAAAGAACACTTAATAAAATATATATCTAATCGGCATACCTTTTTAAGTCATCGACTTAAGGGATTCAAAGTCAACTTCCTTTCATACTAATTCAATTAACTAGATATGATCCATAGCGAACCTTAAAACTCATTTTTCCAAATTTCACGTTGACATGGAAGTTTAACATTCGTTTTGCACTATGATATTCAAAACTAGGCTGGGAA